CTCATAGCTCCCTAAATCAGTATTGTATCATCAGTTGCATCTAATGCTAAAATTGAAGCACATAGTAAGCATTAGTAAACTGAATTTAACTGTTTTATTATTGTTAATTTTTTGTTATTTTAGTTTTTGGGGTCTTAAGCGACATCCAATGGTTTTAAATTCAAACTTTGTTTATCTGTAAGATGGTTTCTTGGGAATGTGAGCAAAAAAACACTTCAATGCATTGGTTAATAGTAATCTTGCAATTTACTCTTGGAGTTATTTTTATATAATTTTTTTTTTCTATAATAATATCAACTTGTCTTATGTTTAAATATTGTTTTAAATTTTATATCTAGTGTTATTTTATTAAATACAATAGGGTTGAGGTGCACAATTTTTTAAAAAAAGATGTTTTTTTAATTATCTTAACGTTTATATTTGTGAGTGTAATGTACATTTTGATCATACATTTTAGTTTAATTTTTACTATTTTTCACACATAGTTTAACTTTTGTGTTATTTAGATGCTGTGAAAATAAAAGCTTTAACCTCTAATAATCTGATAAAAATGGTAGATGTAATTGAAAGGAGTGAGCTAGAATCGCTTTTAATTATTTATCTATACAAATTCCTATTTAAATTCCAGAAAATTTTCAACAAAATCAACAAAATAAATTAAACTTGTTCCTTCGTCTTCTTAATAATAAAACAACTGCAGACATTATCTTTTCATAACTAAAACATCCTTTATTTTATATTTTGAAATAAAGGGTGTTTAAGTTATGATATCCTGGATCTATGTCGTTTTCAGATGTTAAATTTTCAAAATTTCATTCAAAATAAAAAGAAGGTAAAAATAGCGCTTTATAAAAGTGAAATTCCACCCAAAGTTGAATAAACTTTGAAGTATACAAGGGAGTGCTGGAATGCAAAAGAACAAAAAGGAACTTTTAAACAAATTTTGAAAAAAAAATTTCTTAAGTGAACGAGAGCGAGAAAAATTTCACGAGAAACAACTTTCTTATTTTCTTTTTAACTTGTAAATAACAATAATTTTAAATAAATGAAATATTTAAATAAATGAATAATTAAGTGTTAAATAAATGAAATAATAAATAATAATTAGTAAAAATGCTTCTAGATAGAACCTTTTGTTTTGTGTGTACTGTTGAAGGCAGTAGAAAGTTCATGCCAAAAATTACTGTAAATATTATTGTTCCCAATTTATTATATCGATATATATTGATGTAATAAATTGGGAATAATAATATTTACAGTAATCTTTGAGCATAAATATACAGATATTATATAATATCTGTATATTTATGCTCAAAGACTATTACGTTTGGTATTAGTTTATTCTGCAGACAAAAAATATTTTTTTGTTACATGCATATGAATGGAAAAAAGGTACAAATTTTATATTTATCTACAAATATATAAGCTACACAATTATTTTTTCTAGCATTTTATGGTTTTAGATTTAGGTTTTAAATTCAATATTAAACTTTTAAATCTATAAAACTTATTCATTTCAGAAAAAAACTGTAAATTTTTATGGTAATTTTCAAAAAATCGAAGTATTTTTTGGGCCGTTTATTCCCCGTTTAACAACTTCGTTTGTTTTTAAATAAGATAAAAAGCTAAATTATTAATTTTTTCATACTTTTTTTTTTTTTTTTTGTGAAAATTTTTACTTTCAACAAGGCTGCAAGTTACCACTATTAGAGTTGGAAGTTACTCGAAGAGAAAAGATGAAGTTTATAGAGCAAGATAACGATTGACAGATGACTTAAAAAGTTGCAAATTATATGAATCAGGAAAAAACTAGATAAATAAGAATTTTTATGAGCACTTAGGAACACTCACAATAAAAGGATGAGACTGAATTAAATGACGAGTAACACAAAATAAATTTTAGTTGGTGGCACAAGAGATGCTAGCTCTTTAGAGCAGTGCCCATTATAGTATTTATAGAAAAGAGAAAGAGAAGCAACATTAAGACAATGTGATAATGGCTAGATACTTGGGTGGCTGCAAGTGCAGGACCAACTATGTTTACAATGCATTTTTGCAGCTTGTCTAAAAGAAAAATGGCATTATTGGAAGATCCGCCCCAGATATGGCAACAGTATTTCATACAAGGGCGGATTTGAGATTTATAAAGATAAAAAATAGAATCAGGAGCAAGAAAGTGGCAAGCACGATAAAGGGACGCAACCTTAGCAGACTAAGTATGACTTAATCCTAGAAGATGAAGAGTATATGACTCATCGAATACATTACCGTTTATAAATATAGGATGATCTAAATTATTGCGATAACAGTTCGCTGAAAAAAAAAAGAGTTTTATCTGAGTCGAAGCCACCGAGAGCCCATGCTGTAGCAAAAGTGAGATCGTTTTCAAGCTCAAATGTTCCCACAAGCAACCAGAGAGTGTTGGCTTCTTATCAAAACAAGAACAAATGATAGTACCATCAGCAAACAATGCTACTTTAGATGTGAAAATTTTTGGAAGGTTGTTAATGTAATTTAAAAAGAGTATAGAGTCAAAAATAGAATCTTGAGAAACCCCTTGAAATTACATGATATGAGTGCTTTCTATCAAGGACATTTTTTATACTACGATTAGTAAGAAAGGATTCAATGATCTTAAAGATGTTACCTGATTCACCGTATAAAGGAAGCTTATGGAGAAGAACAGCATGCCAAACTTATAAATAAAATTAGGCAGGAGCTTATTTTGTCAAACAACTTATAATTTAATATCAATCTTATAAGAATCTTGAAGCTAGTATAAATTATAAAAACTTTTTTGTTATTGATGACAATTTGATGAAAATTTTTGTTCCCTTAGCACTCCAAACTGTGCATTTCGTTCTCTAATATAAAATGTTTCTGCATCTTTGCGGTGTTGCTCTTTTCTCATCTAATTTTTGTTTATGCCTTTTAAATTCTGATTTAAAAGATTATTCAATTTTTTAGCTTCAATTTTAATTTTGGACACATTTAGAACAAGTATCATTCCTAGGGTACCCAAAAGAAATGTTAAAATTAATGTTAAATATATTTGGATAAAATTCATACGACAATATCATTTCTATCCTTGATTTTAAACAGATCAAACATTTTAGTAATATTAGATTTTTCAGGAAGAAATAGTCCCCTAGCTTTTTTTTGATAATAGTGGGACTATTGACCACTGAATGAAGAAACGTGATCACATGTTTTATATTTTAGTTCAGGAATAAAACTATTATAACGATTAATTTTAAATGATATGTTTACTCTTTCGAGAAGATAGAAATCTCTTTTTACCCTCAATTTCGAAGCATTTCAACCTTTTGCAGTTACATTCAAGTCCTGTTTTATGCGATGGTACTCTTTTTATTTTTATACACAATAATTCTTTTTTTCTTTCCTTGAATTTTTTGTCATTTGTTTTAATGCTACCAATTTTAGCAATAAATTTACATTAACCGAATCATCATAAAGTATTTTAAAAAACAAGGACTAAGAACGTTCAATAAAAGTTTTGATAATACAAAAAAAAAAAAAAAAAAAAAAAAGTGAGTAAATTTAGTTTATACTACTGATTAGTAAGTTCCGAATATTCTTTACTTTTTTAATAACTTGTTTTTTCGTGGAGATAACTTTTTGTTATTAAAAAAAGAGAGATCTAATTCTATCAAACGTTAAACATACGTAAAGTAAAATATTTGATTTGAATTCAAATTCAAAGTATGCAATTGTAGTTTATAAAGCTAGAAAATCTAAAAAGTCAAAATTTTTTAAATGTGAATTTGCCGTTTCCTCACGTTAAGCCTTCAAATACTTGTGCCAAATAGCCTCAAGTTGAGAGAAAGAAAAAGTGTTCTAAAGAAAAATCTAAAGTTGTCTGACCAAAGGCGATTTTTTTGTAAAACAAAGTGAGGTACAAAATGAGAGGTGCGGATCAGCTAAATCAAAATAAGTTATTTTATAAAATGGGCAAAAACTCTTATTTTATCTTAAGACACCTTATCTGATATTATGATAAATATTATAGTTTTTATAAATATTAATAAAGTATTATAATTAATATAAAATAAAAATTTGTCCTATCATAACATTTTTAAAGACATCCATTAAGTATTTAGGACCCCTACTCCTTGTTCGCACCAGAATGCTTTCAGCAATTTTTTATCCCTCTTTGCGTACGTACACATTATTTATTACAAAATTTAATGGTTTGAATTAATTTTCTAATTTTTAATTCTAATTGTGACTGACTTAAGCTAAAAAACATATAAAACCGGTCAAAAATAGTTTCTGGTAAAATTCTTTTTTGTATTGATTTAAAAAAATCAATATTTTCAAAAATCATTTTTTTTTTACCTTTTTTTGTAGAAAATTCTCTAGCTATTGAAAAGTAAATTAAACTTACCCTATACATGTTACAACAATGTTTTGTTATAAATTTTGCTTTATTTTTAAGTCCAGCAAAGAAAACATCAGATATAATAATAATTATGAACCACAATCTAATAATAAATGCAACAGACATGATAGTAACTTCAACCTATAAGGTTAGCACATAAAAAGCATGTGTAGTAAAAAAGCCTTGTGATTCGAAATCAATTTTTTTTTACTGTGCTTTACAACAGTCATATAATGGGCCCCTGTTTAAAGTTTGAGCATTTTTTCGGATAAAGGACTGAGAGATTGAGACATAAGAAGCCCTAATACCATTTGTGTGTGTGTGTGTGTATGCGTGTGTGTGTGTATGTGTGTGTGTGTGTGTGTGTGTGTGTGTGTGTGTGTGTGTGTGTGTGTGTGTGTGTGTGTGTGTGTGTGTAAGAGAGAACGCCCCTAACCACTGCAGTTAAAAAATTGACACAAAACGTTTTTTAAAATTTTTCTATTCAAAAATTTGTTTAAAAAAATTATCAAAGTTCTTAAAAAACTTTAACATCATATTTTATCATATTCAAATAAAAAATAAAAAAATTAAAACGCAAAAAAATAAAAAAATTAGGAACTTTTTAAAACCTTTTTTTCACAAAACAATAGTTAAATAAAAAGAAAAAGAATGCAATAAAGGGTACTAAAAATAAAAAAGAGGATACTAAAAATTTATAACATCAGAAAAAAGGCTTGTTTACTCTGCACTCAAACCAGCATCTTTCATCATTTTGTAAAACTCACCTTGCTGTTGAAATAAAATTTTTGGAGAATCATACTCAATAATTTCACCATGGCTGAGAACAATAATTCTAAAATTTAAAAAAATCAGTATATATATATATATATATATATATATATATATATATATATATATATATATATATATATATATATATATATATATATATATATATATATATATATATATATTTAACACTGTGTTTCATCAATAATGACTCATCAGAAATGAGTCTTTATTAATGAAACACAGTGTTAAATGAAATTTTTTTTTGTAAAGTGATTTTCTACTACTTTATAATTGCTCTGTTCTTTTAAAAACATTAAGCACTCTATTTTGTAGAATACATTTTAAAATTGTTTAAATTGTTTGTAGCAGCAAGCTATAAGATAGTCGGTATAGCAGCCCTCCCTTGCAGCAGCAGGCTATAAAATAGTCGATGTGGCAACACTCCCTTGTAGCAGCAGGCTATAAGATAGTCGATATAGCAACACTCTGCACATGTTTTAAAAATGTTTTTTTTTAAAAAAAAAAGCACTTTTAGTTAAAAAAATTATTTAGTCATTATTATTGCGGCTTTTTAAAAAGCGATAAAACTTAATGTACTTTCGCATTATCTTAGTTGTTTTAACTTTCAGACGACATTAAAATGTAGCTTATTCATTGAAGTCGCAAAATGTAAAGCCTGAAATAAAAATAAAAATTTTAACATTTAAAAAATTATTTTAATGATTAAAGGAAGGACATTTATTGTCGTTGAGATAACTAATTGTAAGCATAACAATTTTTGTAAATAAATAATAAACATTTATAGGGGAGACCGGGGCTAGTTAGCAGCAGGGGTAAGTTGACGAATTGCGTTTATCTGCAAAGTCTTTCATCAAAAAGTGCCAATAATTTCAGGAAACCTTCTTAGTTGACCATTTCATCTTTCACTGTAGTATTGTGGGGATTTGCGCATGCGCATAAAAGATATTGTGATTTATGTGTTTTTTCCACATTTTTGTAACTTTTACAACTTCTTTATTTTTTCGATTTTTAAAAGCAATTTCATCAAGTACAAGTAAACTTGATTGGAGTTATATCTTGCATGGTTCAGTAAAATCTGTCCAACCATTATTTTTTATTTATATACGTTTTTCAGGGATCGGTAGGGGAGTTTGTGACCAAATAGCTGTCGGGGTTAGTTGGCAAAATTTTGGCGGGGCAAGTTGGCCGTATATATCAACTAAACCCGGTTGCGATTGGACATAAATTTTAACTTTTTCTATAAATTTTGATTTATTTTTTTAAAAATCGATTAGATAGATCACATATATTACATGCGAAACTATAAAAGAAAAACAAAAAGGGCTATAACTCCTCAAAATGTTATAAAAAATGCTGTTGATGCTGTTTTATTAGAAGGAAAATCTATACGAAAAACAGCCAAAGACTTTAATATCCCTGAAAAAAGTTTGTCCCGATACTGCAAAAAGCAACAACGTCATAGTCAGCAAATATCAGGTTACATAAAATCTAGACAGGTCAGTATATATATATATATATATATATATATATATATATATATATATATATATATATATATATATATATATATATATATATATATATATATATATATATATACTGACCTGTTTTTAGTAACTGTGGCAGTTGCTGTTTCTGCCAGTGGAAATTCAATTCCTCCATTTTTCATATTTCCTCGTGTGAAATTTAAAAGCTATTTTTTAAATGGTGCTCCTGATGGAAGTGCAGGCGCTGCAAACCCATCTGGTTGGATGACTGAAGTTCAATTTTTGCAGTTTTCCCATCATTTTGTCAAATATGCCAGAAGTACAAAAGAACGACCTGTTTTGTTGCTGTTAGACAATCATGACTCTCATCTTTCAGTAGAGGCTTTAGATTACTTTAAAGAAAATGGGGTATCGGTTTGTTCATTTCCTCCTCATTGCAGCCATAAACTTCAACCTCTAGATCGAAGTGTATTTGGACCTTTTAAAAAATACACAAACACAGCTTGCGATGCGTGGATGACAATGCACCCTGGTTCCACAATGTCTATTTACAGTTTACCAGGTATTGTGGGTAACTCATTTCCATTAGCATGTACCCCTAATAATATCAAGGCTGGTTTTGCAAAAACAGGAATTTACCCACTAAATGTTAACATTTTTGGTGAACACGATTTTATGCCAGCCTATACCACAGATAGACCACCTCCGAAACAAGACTGTGCTGTGGAAAGTACAGTGCTAAATATAAGTAATGTAATGGATGTTGACTTAACAATATCTGAGAATGACATGTTAAATGCTGGTTGCTCAAAAGATATAAAACCACGTCAAGATATTTCATATTCAAGCAGTAATGATGAACACAGTGCATCTACAGAGTCAACTGTAGTTCTATCGCCTGAAGATTTAAGACCATTCAAAAAAGCTGAACCAAGAAAAAGAGTTAGGGCTAATAAAAGAAGTAGAACCACATCAATTTTAACAGATTCACCAAATATGAATGTTTTAAAAATAGAGAAAGAATCAGCTAAAAAGAAAAAGTTAGCAATTGAAGAGAGAAAACAAGCAAAAAAGTTAAACGAAGATAATATTAAGATGAGTAAAAGATCAAATAGTAAAGGAAGTTTACACTTAATGGAGAAAAGTTTGAATTGTCCAAATAGCTCTGTTGTAGAGGAGTGTTTTTGTTTGGTTTGTGTTGGAATGTTTTCTAAAAGTAAAGCAGGGGAAGTTTGGGTTCAATGCACCCAATGTCACCTTTGGGCTCACGAGTCATGTATAATCGGAAAATCTTTGTTTTTCATTTGCAATAATTGCTGCTAGCCGATTTGAAACTCCATTAGTTAAAAATATTCATGTAATAAAACAATATAAGTTTTAATTCTTATTGTATAACCATAAATTGGGAACACTGTTTTGTTTTGTCACTGTATTTTTTAATTATATTTACTTTCTATTGCTTAAAATGTTACAATGACTTGATCCAAAAGTTTGATGATATTGATAAAAGTATATTTCTGCTATGATTCCTTTAAAAAAAAGGGGCTCGGGGTAAAAATATTATTGAAATACACTTAAATAGGACCTTTAACTTTAGCTTTTATTATTGCGAGTCAACTTACCCCTTGAGTATAAGCAACTTACCCCATGGTGAGGTAAGTTGGCGCAATTTTTTTTTTTTTTGAGGGCCCAGAAAGGCCCCACAATATTTTTTTTGTAAATGAATACAACTTTTATAAGTTACCCAAATTCATACTCTTTGAAACTACACTTTTATGTTTTCAAAAAAATGTTTCGTTAGGACTACAGAACTCATAGAGTAAAAACCGAGTCAACTAGCCCCGGTCTCCCCTATTGTTTTACCATAAGTTATTGTTATCTAAAATGAATTTTAAAGATTTTCAACTTCAAGATTTGAAATAACTATTAGATAAATTCCAATACTCATCGAGAAAGAAATTTATCTTATATTTTTTGCAAAAAACCGCTAAAAAATATAACTATGTTTTCAGTGTTAAAAGTTTCATAAAAAAGTATTTTAATAAAAATATTTTGGCATTCATAATTTTTAAAAGTGTAACTTTATTCTTAATTTTATTTTTAAAGTTTATTACAAAATTTTAGGAATAGTGCCAAAAAATTTAAAAGTTCTTAAAAAAAATTCTAAGCAGGCTTGTTTTAGAAGCGAAGCAGATCATGCATTTGTAGATTTAGAATGCAATACTTAATGCAGTAACTCAATATAAAAATTATGATACTTTATTTAAAGGTAAAAACCTTTCTCTTGATTACATACAAGAACTGATCAATTTTGATGAGAAGTTGAAAAAAAAAAAACACTTTCAAGTTATTTGTATGTCATTTACATAATTTTTATATTGGACTATTTTTTAATGTGGTCTATATTGAATGTTGTTATATTCTTAAAAATTAACTTAAATTGAATAAAGTTTGAAAAATATAAAATTTAATTAGCAATGAAACAGAGTTTTGAAATATTTTATGTTTTTGGTTTTAAAAAAGTCCAATTTTTATATATATATATTGTTTTATAATTTATATATATATTGTTCTGAAACTAACAATAACTAGATAATAATAAACAATTGATATCAAGATTAATTAAGGTTAGTCATATTAAATGTATCAAATGATGTTAATCAAGGTTAATTATTTTACTCAAATTGGAGGAGCGAATATTTTAGATACAACACGCATGTTGTTGAGAGCAATTTTCTTAAAAGGACTGATTTTTGCATCTAAATTTGCTGGCAGGAGTGGAAAGGTTAGAATCGACAACTTAAAAATAAGTTTTTTTATTGTCAGTAAGTCACAATCATAATTCAACTTAACTTGGCATTTAACCATTATGGTTGTTATTTTAATAATAAAAAAAATCGTTATATACAAATATACAACCAAGGAATTAAAGTCGACATTCGACAAAATATTAATACTGGAAACTAATCAAAATTATTTTATTTATAACTTAATTTTTATGTTGTGGTCTAAATATTATTAATATATAATCAAGTAATAAACTTAAAAAAATGAGCATATAATATTTTGTTTAACAGTAAATAGATTGGATATAATTTACTTTAGAATAACTAGTAAATATTTTAATTAAATAGTAAATGGATTAAGTAAATTTAGTAAACAAAATTTTAGTCGTAAGTAGAAAAGTACAAATAAGGATATAATTTTACTTTTTTTCTTAGGTATTGTTAAAAAGAAGAAATTATTAGGCGACGTAAATTTTAAAAATTTGGCTTAGACAGTTCTGTGACCGTGAAGTAGGTAGAAATGATCCCAAAAGAGGAAGTAAGCAATCACGTCCAAAAAAAAAATCCAAGATTCTATCGGCAATCAACTTTTATAAATATTTGTAAAAATAATATAGTTGACCTGTTTGCTCATATGAAATATTGAAGAGCACTTTAAAAAAAGACTTTTATGTTATTTTTTACAATCAACAGGTCAGTAAAGTAATCACCCAAGTGATTATTTTGATGTTGATCAAGTTTTTCAAATTTTGGATTAACATATTGTT